TCGAAACCAGCATTACCAACATGGTGAAACCCCATCTCTACTAAAAATACAAAAAAAATTAGCCGGGCATGGTGGCAGGCGCCTATATTCCAGCTAGTCAGGAGGTTGAGGCAGGAGAATCACTTGAGGCAGAGGTTGCAGTGAGCTGAGATTGCACCATTGTACTCCAGCCTGGGCAACAAGAGTGAAACTCCATCTCAAAAGGAAAAAAAAAAAAAAAGCAAGCCAGGCATGGTGGCATACACCTGTAGTCCCAGCTACTCAGGTCTGGGATATAGCACAGCTTTCCCCAACATCATCAGCTGGTTTAGACATTGTGGTCAGGGAAAGCTATGTTACTCCAGGTGGACAGAAGGAAGCTGACACACACAATTCCAGGACTGTGTTCCCAGCTCTCAAGGGTGCCAGAGTCCCCTGGGGCTTTCAGGTGGCAAAGGCTGCCATCTTTTTTTGAGACAGAGTCTCGATCTGTCACCCAGGCTGCAGTGCAGTGGCACAATCACAGCTCACTGCAGTCTCGACTTCCTGAGCTCAATCAATCCTCTCACCTAAGGCTCCTGAGTAGCTGGGACTTCAGGCATACACCTGTAGTCCCACCTACTCAGGATACAAGAGAGCTGGTAAAGCATCCTAATGTTTTTTAAAAGCATTTTTAGGCGGGGCGCAGTGGCTGATGCCTGTAATCCCAACACTTTGGGAGGCCGAGGCGAGTGAATCACCTGAGGTTGGGAGTTCGAGACCAACCTGACCAATATGGATAAACCCTGTCTCTACTAAAAATACAATAAAATTGACCGGGCATGATGGCTCACCCCTGTAATCCCAGCACTTTGGGAGGATGAGGCAGGTGGATCACGAGGTCAAGAGATGGAGACCATCGTGGCCAACGTGGCAAAACTCCATCTCTACTAAAAATACAAAAATAAACTGGGCCTGGTGATGGGCACCTATATTTCCAGCTACTCGGGAGGCTGAGGCAGGAGAATCACTTGAACCCAGGAAAGAGATCGTGCCGAGATCGTGCCACTGCACTCCAGGCTGACAACAGCAAGACTGCATCTCAAGAAAAAATATATATATACAAAAAATTAGCCGGGCATGGTGGTGAATGCCTGTAATCCCAGCTACTTGGGAGGCTGAGGTAGGAGAATCACTTGAACTTGGGAAGCGGAGGTTGCAGTGAGCTGAGATCGCACCATTGCACTCCAGCCTGGGCAACAAGAGTAAAACTCCGTCCACCCAAAAACAATGTTCTATGTAGTTTTACATACAGCTACTGTCAGTTATAGGCAGTTTATTTTAACCCTGGAATGCTTAGGCTTAGATGTACAGGGAGCCATCCTCCATGGAGTAGCCCACTTACCTGGGAAGTCCCACGGCTGTCTCGTGACGGCACGCTCTAGACCATCTGAGAGCAGGGGCTTCTCCCCAGTGGGTAGGGGAGACTCACTAGGTCTAGAGTTGGGGTCAATAATGATAAGATCTCGCTATGTTGCCCAAGCTAGTCTCAAACTCCTGGCCTCAGATAGTTCTCTTGCCTTAGCTTCCTAATGTGCTGGGATTACAGGCGTGAGCCACTGCGGCCAGCCTACATTTTTTTAATTTACGTATTCTCTCCTGCAGTTCCAAGTGAGGAGGTGTTGGCTCCCTTCCAACATTATAAATAAGCAGACAGCTCTCCTTTTTAAAAGCAAACCCGCATTTTACAGCGTGTGTTCGCCACGGCGTGAGCCCCTCCTGAGAGCACCAGAGCCCGTGTGCAGGCCTGCACGCATCTTCGTTTGCGTCACAACGAGGGCACGCTAGCTTCCAAAAAGATCCCGCTGACTCAGAGCAGTGGCTTTTCCCTATTTGGGCCTCAGCGTCCCCGTTTTGAGAATAAAGGGGTTGATCTAGATCAGAAGGAAACTGGAAGACAAGCCCGGCCCCTAGACGAGGACGGGAATGAGTTTTCACACTGAGGACAGGTTATCAGCGAGGGCTGCTTCTGTTGTCCAGTAATTTACCTCCACCTGGCTTGGAAACGTTCTTTAGAGATGTTCCTTCTGCTCAGGAGCAAGGCCACCCTGCGCTGCCTCGTTCACTCTGTCCTGCCTTCTGCAGTGAGGGCCACCGGCATTCTCTGCTGTGGCCTGAGGAACACGCGGTGCTGGGCGCTCCGAGCTGCCTGGGACCCCTCGGAAAGCCAGATCAAATAGTCCCCCACCCTGGGCACGTGGCCCTGCGGCGGGCACCCCAGAAACTCTGCACAGGCGGGAAAGCGGAGTGGAACAGCCACCGAGCAATGGGCAGTCAGCTGGTGTCCACACACGCATTTTGGATTCTTGGGGGAGATTGGTGGGGGGGGGTCCTAAGATGTGTCCACCCTGGCCGCAGTCAGCCACTTGGTGGCCTCGCTCTCCAGTCCCCAGTTGCAGCCCAGCCCACTCTCTAGTGGCCGCTGGTTTCATGGCCTTAGGGGTCTCCTGTCTTGATAGGGACACGAGACATGCAGCAGGCAGTGCCCGCAGGGCCCTGGGTGCTGGTGGCAGTGCAGTCTGTGGCCCGGAGGTGTCCCCCACTGCAAGGAAAGGGAGCAGGGAAGAGGGCAGATCTGGGCACGGTGACCACTGCAGTGGGCTGAGTGGGAGGTGAGCGGTTAAGTCAGGGATGCAGGGAGGGTGCTGTGAGACCCCTGGAGGCCACCAGGTAAGAGGCGCCGTGTGTGCCCAGCCCCATCCTCGTCATGGGTCTGCTTTGCCGTGGAGAGGGAGGCAGAGAGGCTCCTGCCAGCCTCATACCCAGAGGGAGTGCTGGGGTTTCAGCTCCCTGAGAAACAAGCAGATTAGTTAAAGGGGAAATCTGCCTGAACATGTCCAATACATATTTTAAAGGAAACACTGTATTATGGAATACCACAGACTGAAAAGTACGCGATCAATTTTCACGATGTGACTCCGCATACCCAGTAGGACATTGCCGGCCTCCAGGATCCCCCACATGGTCCATGCCCGTGACCATCCCTTCTCTAAGGCCAGACTCCACGAGCGCCAGTATGGAGATGGCCATTGGGCTGGCCCTGTAGGGACAGTCGCTTGGCACTGTGAGGTGACCGTCTGCACAGAAGCCGGTTCTGGCTCTCCCATGGATGGTGTCTGGTGTTTCTGGTCTGGGCTGTTTCACCAGGGCTGCCTGAGTGTTTCGGGGCCCATGGGCGTGTGCCCTGCTTGTTCCTATAGGGAACAGGATTGGTGGGTCCCAGGCGTGCACAGGGTTGGCCCGACTCTGAGTGGCTTCAAGCTGTTTTCTTAGGGGTTCTTTTCCCCGCTCTGTCCTCCCGACAGGAGTCGGTGCTTCTTACTGCGTTCCTTGCAAGGATTCACTGGGACTGTTTTAAAGTCCCCTAGCGGCCCAGGGGGGCGTGAACAAGCGCTGGGGTGTGCTGGAGCTAGGTAGAGGGTGTTTCTGGTTTCCACTTTGAGAAGCGCCTTCCTCTAGCAGAAGCTGCAATTGGGAGGGACACGGTGTTGGCTCCATGACTCCGGTGGCAGAGGAGGGGAGGGCCAAGTGGAGTCGGGCTTGGCATGAAGTGTGCCTCAGGCCCGGCCACGGCCCTCCCGCCTGCCCTCTGGGCCACGGAAGGTCTTTCTGCAACAGGGTCCACGGACGCCAGTACCATGAGCACACGCAACAGGCACCCTGGGGCATTAATATCATAAATTAGCCTGTCAGCATCGCAGAGCCTGCACCTTACACCAGCAAGGACTTCCTTCAAGCCTGCTGAGGAAGTGCTGCATGCCCCACAGGGAAAAATCACTTTTGCAGCCATTTAAAGCCCTGTAAGATGTGCAAGGCCAGCCAGTGGCTTCCAGTGCAGAAGCAGACACCGGATAGGCCTGGCCGCCCTGCCCAGGGGCTCTGGAGAGGGTAGAACAGGTCTCAGGCCATGCCCCTGGGGCCCGCAGCCCACCTTCTGCCTCGAGTCTGTACATCCAACCTGAATGGAGGCCACCCCAGAGGAGGCCAGGCCCAGGCCTCCACGTCCAGGAACGGCCTGCACTCTAGAGCTGGCATCGGGCAACAGCGGGGCTCCTGGGTCGATGCTGAGAGGTCTGCATGCTTCCTGAGACCCCCGGGGGTGCTGGGCCCCTTCCTGGGGCTGTCAGGACGGTGAGGCCGGGCCTCGGCTGGTCACACGGTGTTACACTGCCCTCTCCTGGACAGCCGCCCAAACTCTGCTCCATGTGTGCAGGCTGGAAAGATTGTTAAACCCTGCAGGCTTTTTGGAGCGAGGGAAAGGAAGGTGCGCGCCTGGCCCAGCGCTGCAGGCCCCTTTGCACTTTGCTTCCATCTTCTCTTTTCCTCAGTTTTCGGCTTCCCCGGCTCTCGCAGCCCCCAAAGCTGCCAGGGTTTTACTTTTACTTCTTGTTCTTCACGTCATCCTTCAGGAGTCAGCTCCGAAAAAGCACATCCAGTCTCGGGTCTGCGCTCGAAAGGCCAGGGCTGAGGACCTCCGTTTCCCCCAAGCCGGAGATGTTCTGTTTGGCACAACTGTTTTCTTCCGTGATGTTGCTCTGTTGTTCAAGCTTCATGTGAAGCTTCCCAAGTTCCGCAGACTGCTCGTCCACACGCGAGCTCCCGACATCTCACACCTCCCGGGTGGGAGTGGGCCGTGCCACGCTCTCACACCCTCACTTCCCTGCCGAGCGTTTTCTCTTCTTGCCTTATTCTTCCAAGTGAATATAGACAGTCTCCCGGATCGGGTTGGGGCATTTTTAAACATCCCTCATGTTTTAGATGCCTTTACCTTCAGGTCTTTAAATTTAAAATCTCCAATATAGGCCAGTCGCAGTGGTTCACACCTGTAGTCCCAGCGCATTACAAAGTCGAGGTAGAAGGATCACTTGAGCTCAGGAGTTTGAGACCAGCCTGGGCAACACGGCAAATCCCCACCTCTACCTAAAATAATTTTTAAAAGACCAATTCCAAGCCCTCCATAAACTTCTTTATCTTTCTCACAGAATGATGCCAACGGGACTGCAAAGCCACCTTTTCTCAGGTAGGTGTGGCTTCCTACATGAGCCTCAGCATGTGACTTTGCTCTTCCCTATAGTGTCCCCCAGAAGGGCCTTTGGTGCCCAGGCCAGGAGGCTCAGCCTGAGAAAGGCCTTGCCCTATGGGACCGTGGGAGACCGTGGCCCCCTGCTCCCTTCACCGCCCGCTTTAGAACACCCTGGGAGCAGGGCCTGCCCACCCCAGAGCAGCCCCCACCTCACCCACAATGCAGGGCTAAAGAGGTGTGGGCGCCCACATCCAGAACCTTTAAAAACTGGGCTCGTTCTACAGCGGGCGGTATAGGGTAGGAATCAGCACTGAACAAAACTTTCATCAGAAAACACTGCTGGGGCCTGTACAAGCTGGGCAGGTGGTCGGCAGCACAGTCCCACAGGGCAAGAATGGGTTATGAGCGCTGTTAAAATCCAATTTCGGCCAAGCATGGTGGCTCACGCCTGTAATCCCAGCACTTTGGGAGGCTGAGGCGGGCAGATCACAAGGTGAGGAGTTTGAGACCAGCCTGGCCAACATGGTGAAATCACATCTCTACTAAAAATACAAAAATTAGCCAGATATAATGGTACTTGCCTGTAGTCCCAGCTACTGGGGGAGCTGAAGCAGGAGAATCGCTTGAACCCGGGAAGCGGAGGTTACAGTGAGCCAAGATTGCCCCACTGCACTCCAGCCTGGGTGACAGAGATTCTATCTCAACAAAAATCCAATTTCCCTCATGGAGTGGAAGTTCTGAAAGATTGTTCTTATCCCCTGCAGCGGAGAAAACCCCTTTGCCACTGTGAAGCTCCGCCCGACCGTGACGAATGATCGCTCAGCACCCATCATTCGATGAGAAGACAGCCAAGGACTCTCCTGGGCCTCTCCTGTTCTCCCTTTCGGAACGATGGGCACATCCTGTCTGCCTCATGCTGTTGGGAAGCTTCAACAGAGGAGCCTGACTCCAATGTCACCTGCCTGAGCAAATCATGCTTCTGTTTCACATAGTTGGGTTGACACGTTTCTGCCTTTAAGATAACTGAGTAATAGTCTAATGACCAACTCAATCATTTAAAATATTTTCTTCTTATTCTGTTCAAGAAGCAGTGAACATGGTTTCAATCTTTACTGTATTTTTTTAATGAATTTTTTTCCTTAATAAATCCAGAATAAGGGATAATCTATGCTTTCATGACTGGCTTTCTGCACGTGATGCAAATGAGACCAGTTTTATAAAGTATGTGCTTTTAGTAGCATTATGTCTAGCTAAAGAAAATATCACATAGGTTTGCATCTTAGCATGCAAATAATTTTAAGCAATATAAATTATGAAAATACCACATACATGTAATTTTTTAACTAAAAATTTTTAAACTTTAATGAAATGTGGAGCTTCCGGAGATGGAGAAACCCCATTCCCTCCAACTCCTACAGAGCTGTAGAGTGCTAAGACATTTTGCCTGCCCTTATCACAGCCACCTGTCATACTTGACGGAATCCCCTCCCAGAGCTCCTTTTCTCAGTAAAGTCACCGGCTGGATTCGCCACACAGCCCATCCAGGACACGGGGCTGGGCATTGGAGTCACAGCTCCTGTGTTCTCCCTCAGCTAGTTGGCCAAAGCTGCATCCATTACCAATACACTCAAACTTCTCGGGGTCCCGGTTTCTCCATGTTTCAGTCAGGTCGGACTCTCAAAGGATGTGCATAAAGCCCACGTGACCTCTGGTGCCTGGAGAGGGCAGGTTTTCAGCCCAGCAGCCATGACGCACACAGAACCCGGCCCAGCAGCGTTGGAAGTGAGGACTCAGCGGTGGCTGCCCTGAGCCCCAGGCTGGAATTCATCTCTGGCTGCCAAGGATCTGGACCTATTTTGGAGTGGAGCATCATGGCTAAATTCCCGGCCCAGGTATGGGAATCTCAGCACCTTGTGAGGCTAAGGCAGGAGAATCACCTGAGGTCAGGAGTCTCTCCTAAAGATAGAAAAAGTAGCCAGGCATGGTGGCAGGCACCTTTGATCCCAGCTACTCGGGAGGCTGAGGCAGGAGAATCACTTGAACCCAGGAGGCAGAGGTTACAGTGAGCTGCGATCACACCACTGCACTTCAGCCTGGGTGACAGGCTACCAGCCTGGCTGCTCACCGTGTGTGTTGGGTGCGCTGGGGCTTATCACCTCTCCTCTGGCCTTGCCATAGTGTACTGTTTTCCTATGAGGTGGAAATTGGGAAAGGTCACATGCGGGTAAGCCAGTGGACATGGGCGACGCTTCAGGCTCCTTCCAGCCACGTAGGGCAGTGTCACCATCTGCCTCTCCTGGGAGGACAAACCAGGCACCCCCCATGCAGGGCGACAAGCACCATGAACTGTGTTAGCCGCCAGGTCTGTTCTACAGAAGGAGCTGTGGCCACATGAGAATTCAGTCCACAAGACCTCTGTGGCCGTGTTCCCCACTTCAGACGTCAGAGCAGGCCTCAGGAAGCCCATTTGCAGCCGTGGGGAACTGCGGGGTGTGGGTGAACTACCTTTGGTGCCCTACCTTGGGGATGTGTCTGGTTTTGTTACAGGGTAGGAGAATGGGGCCTGGGCGGTCTCAGATGCAGCTGGAGGTTCCACCTCACAGACCAGAACCGGGGGGATGGCCTCGTCCTTGGCACCAAGGTGCCTGCTCTGTAAATGTCAAGGGGTTACGTTTAATTTTAACAATAAAAAGAACTTGAAAACAAGCACACTTTCTTGAGCTATAGTGCCCGTGGAGGAACACAAGCTGGTCCTGACCAGCCCGGGGACCGCTGAGGCCGCGGTGCAGGCGTTGCTCCAGTCTTTCCTGGGTGTTTGAAATCACGGAGTAAGCAGCACCAGGTCAACAATGGTATGAATCTCATTTATTGAAAACATTATTTCTCACCTTTCTCAAATTGAAGACTGCAAAAAATAAAAGCAGTGCTTTATTGAGTTGTCATGAGCCTCGGGCGGGAGCAGCAGCTCTGCCTCTCCACGCTCAGGAAACTGCAGCTGGCGTGTGCCACACCGGTCCCACCTCGCTTTACAAAACAGTCCTGAAGCTGAATCAAATAAAACTATTGTACACGACATTTACATTAGAAAAAGAGAGCTGGGTGTAGGAACGCCGGGCGTGGTGTTCCCTTTAAGCGAAGGTGGCTCCACAGTTGGGGCATCTTCGCTTCCTCAAGGCGAAACAGCAGATGAACCCAAAGGGAAACAGAATGATGGCCAGGAAGATGCCCAGGAAGGTGAAGCAATCCTCCAGCACCCCGACCCTGCAGCAGAAAGGGCAGTGCGGTCAGGACCAGGGCGGGCACCGGAACCCTCACCCTCCCAGCCTTACACTCAAGGACCGACCAGTGGCCATGATGGAAATGGGGACCACTGATGAGTGACAGTGACCATCTACCTGAAAATACAGCCCCCACCACTCCCCCCCCACCCAGCCCACTAGCCTGGAGAGCCCCAAGAACGGTCTACCTGTGCCCATTCATGGAATGGCCCTAGCTGCTATTTAACCCCTACATGTAACATTCAGAAAAAAGGAGGAAGACGACAGTCGGAAGCTCTCATCAGTTAACCTGGAGAGGCCCGGCCAGGCACATGGTGGCTCACGCCTGTGATCCCAGCACTTTGGGAGGCTGAGGTAGACCCATCACTTGAGGTCAGGAGTGGTCACCGAGACCAGCCTGGCCAACATGGTAAAACCCATCTCGACTAAAAATTAGCCAGGTATGGTGGCAAAGGCCTGCAGTTCCCGGCTACTTTGGAGGCTGAGGCATGAGAATCACTTGAATCCAGGAGGCAGAGGTTGCAGTGAGCCAAGATAGAGCCACTGCACTCCAGACTGGGCAACAGAGCGAGACTCTGTCTCAAACAAAAAACAACAAAAAAGTAAAACCTTGAGAGGCAAGATCATTTCAGTGCCACAAGCCACCACACATCTGCTCTTAGAAAAGGAGCAACCAGCAGCTTGGGGATCTGGTCAGGTTCGGGGTTCGGTCGGTTTCTGTTCCTTTGGTAGTGGGAGTGGCTTAATGGGAGGGAGCTCATAGTTGGCCATGTTCACACAATGTCTGAAGGCCACTTATTTTCAGAAATGTGATCCCAAAGCCAACTCTTCAACAAAGTTTAATGTCTGTAACAGACTAAACTAAGACACCTGCAGGCCATCCCCCAAATCCTGCACCTGTGAGCACAGGTTCAATGACCTGAAATCATCAAACCCAAGTGTCAGTTTCAGAGGCCCCAAAGGTAGGAAGCCAGGAGCTGTGTGCTCAGCTCAGATCCTCAGGCTATTTCTGGAAAATTCTGGACACAGCTGAAATTAAAATAAAGACCACAGTAGCCAGCTCAGGCCAAATGAGAAAAGCTTCATTCTCACCAGACAGGCAGACCCCAACAAGCGCCTTCTGGGCCTCCTGGGCCCCCAAATTCCCTCACCCACCCAGTACTGAGGTAAGTGAAAAGAACACCACAGCGGGGTGGGGTATCTGACAGGTGATGGGAACTGGGGCTTTGGGGAAGGGGAGCCTACAGCAAGGTTGGCACGGTCCCCTGCTACGACAAGGAAGTGTCAGTGACTAGCAGTGTCTTGCTAAGGGGAGAAAACTTGGCCACCCAGGGGACCCTATTCCCCTTCCGGCACCCTGAATGTTTCCAAGCTGCTTCCTGGGGGTCCAGACTCAGGAGGACTGCTGCCCCCGCCCCTGCTCAGCAAGGCAGGCTGGGGACCAGAAACCCTACCCACGGAACCTGTTCCCTGCCTCTCCAGGAAGTATGGGAAAATAAATCAGGATATTCTGAAGTTGCTTTCCACTGCTTAGAGAAAAAGTCAAACTTCCTGCCCACTGCCTCCCTCCAACCTACTCGAGCAGCTCCGTTCAGCAATCTCCAAGGAGGTTGGACGGGGGGGTTCACTCCCGCAATGGCAGCACTTTGAGAGGCTGAAGCAGAAAGTCAGCAGTTCAAGACCAGCCTGGGCAACAAAGTAAGACCCTCCCCGATCTCTCTCAAAAATTTAAAATTAGCCAGACACAGTGGTACGAATTTGGAAAAGGGGGATTCTTTGTTCAGCCAATTTTGGGAAACTTCTCCTTGTCTCCTAGACAGTTGCTATGCCCATTAGTTCTTTAAAGTCTCTGAGAAGTCCTGTAGTGCTCCTATACCCAGTGTTTCCCAAACTCACATGATGCCACCTATCTGTGTGGAGGGGCTGGGCTGCAGAGCACACCAGGAAGCCCTGCTCCAAGGCAAAGCCCATCAGAAGACGTGAGTCTGTCAGCAAAGTTTCCATTTCTTGTGTGGACTTTTACAGAAGTGTCCCCTGTCTAAGCACCACAAGGTCATCAGGCCAACACAGTTGTTCAGCATTGCCTAAGGCTGCCCCCACCAGTCCAGACTGGGCAAGACACCTCCGCCCAGCCCTGCCTGGCCCCAGGACCCTCTCCCCCAGGTGTCAGGTAGGCAGAAGTCCCAGCTGCCGCAGCTCCCAAGACCACACTGCCGCAGCTCCCAAGACCACACTGCCGCAGTGGGGAAGCCTCAGGAAGGCCGAGCACAGCTGTGTCCCCACACACGCAGATGGCCACAACAGGCTCTGGGGAGCTGGGGGGAGCCAGTGGCCACTGGCCTCTCAAGGGAGCATCTAGGCTTCCTTTTCCTGTTTCTTCCTGGCATCTACAGTTCAGATCCCAAAAAACACACTAGCTTTATGTTCTGGTTAGAAAATGACCCATGAAAAAGCAGACGGGAGGCTGAACGGGCTGAGAAATCCTTCCATGGGAGAAGTCGTTCCCCTGGAGTGGTCCCCAGTGAGTGTCACCTGCGCCCCCTCAGCTGGCCCAAATCAGTGACCATCTGAGCACCTCGCCTCAGGACCAAAGCTGCTGAGGGCTAGGGCTGTGGGCAAAGTTGTGGGCAGAGCTGACTGCCCACTCAAAGGCCCAGAGGTACCTGGGAGGAGGCTGGGTAAAGGGGTGTGGGTGGGAAGCCCGGGCTGGAGTCCACCCATGGGGCACAGAAGAGGCATCTGGGTGTGATGGTGGGGTGGGCAGGGGTGGTGCTGCCTGGTGACCCCACCACACCAGCCTCCCACCTGTGACTGCTGCTCTCTGCTGGCACAGGAGTCCACGGGCAGCAGCGTTCTCCTGCCTCCTCCCTAGTTCTCCATCCAGAACCCAAAACCCACCTACACTGTCAGAGCTCAGCAAGCAGGAAGGCTGCTCACTCTCGCTGGATTCCCACTGCCATGGGCCAGGACACCGGCCCACCTAAGCCCTAGGATTTCCAGCAGCGCCAGCCCTGCCCACCCAGGCCCTGGCACCTCGCTTCCCAGCCCCGAGGCTGCAAACAGCACA